TTCCTAGCACTGCACTCTTCTGCACAGAGAGCTCTGATGTTGCTCCTGGGATCTGTTGGAGTCCCTCGCCCAGCTTAGGAGTCACGGCCCGGAGGGCTCCTACCACCACTGGGACCACTTTGGCCTTTATTTCCCACATCCTCTCTATTTCCTTCTTCAGGCCCTGGTACAGTGGTACCTCGGTTCACGAACGTAATTCGTTCCGCGACTCTGGTCGCGACCCGAATCAAATTTTCCCATAAGGTTCAATGTAAATACGGTTAATCCGTTCTTACCCCTTCCACTTTGGTCGCCAACCGATTTTGGTTGCGACCCGAATCAAATTTTCCCATAAGGTTCAATGTAAATACGGTTAATCCGTTCTTACCCCTTCCACTTTGGTCGCCAACCGATTTTGGTTGCGACCCGAATCAAATTTTCCCATAAGGTTCAATGTAAATACGGTTAATCCGTTCTTACCCCTTCCACTTTGGTCGCCAACCGATTTTGGTTGCGACCCGAATCAAATTTTCCCATAAGGTTCAATGTAATTACGGTTAATCCGTTCTGAACCATTTTTTTTTTTTTTTTTTAAACCACAAAATATGACACAAAGTACAGCACTAAGAGAGAGGACGCTAACCTTGCTCGACATGACTTCTGGCGTGGAGGACAGGAAGGCGGGTGGGGAGGCGGCTATTGCTTTGAGGGGGGGGCCCCCTCCCTACAAGAAACCACGCACACATGTCACCGGAGGGGAAATGGCCGCGGATCCTGTTTGTCACCCGATCCAGCGTTCGCGAATGGAAGCAAAATTTTGCAAACGGAGCTGTTCGTGACCCGAATTGGTCGTGAACAGAAGCATTCGTGACCCTCCCTCCCCCCACTCTCTCTCATCGTGTGCAACAGGCTGAGCTAAGAGATAGTGACTGGCCCAAGGGCACATAGTGAGTCCATGGTTAAATGGTGGTTTAATGCCAGTTTCATGGTTCTACGCCAATGCTCTAAACATGGTTGTTTAACCGTTTTCCATTATGGGACCCAAATTTTGAGATGGGGGAGGGTTGCCTTGCCTGCATGGGTGGGAGACACAAAGAGATGCTTTAAGTCTCTGCAAGCTGTTAAAACCCAGCCCCCAAATAAATTTTTAAAAAAAGTTGGCCCTGCCTATTCTGCAGGGCTTCGGGGGTCCCAGTGAAGCTCAGTCCTGCTGTAATCAGTACAGTACACTGGCTCCAAATTTAATTTATAGCGTTATAGTATTGGATTTCTTCCTTCCTTCCTTCCTTCCTTCCTTCCTTCCTTCCTTCCTTCCTTCCTTCTTCTTTTTTTTTAATTTTCCTCCAGGCAGAAACACTTCCTTGCTCGCCAGTCTCCAACTCTGCGACCAGCATCACTGAGAAACATTGACTTGGCTGTCTGGAGGGTTTCCTAGGAACATTCCTGTCCCAGCCTTGGCATTAAGAAGCGACAATGGCAGCAGAGCACAGAAACCCAGCAGGCTTGGATCTCCAGCTGGATGCTGATTTGGAGGATGGTGTGAAAATCGAGGTGCAGGAAGAAGCCGAATCTGAACCCGAGAAGGAGGTGGCTGAAAGCCCCCTGGGGACCCACCCTGAGAGCGTGAAGGAATCCCCAGAAGGCATCGCAGCAGAAGCCATTAAGCAGGAGCCCGAGGCCGAACCAGAAGAATGTTGTTTGGAAGTGGAGGAAGAGAAGTTTATGATGGGCAAACAGTCCCCTGCTTCCGAGCCAGGAAATGAGCAGCTGCTGAAGGCAGAAGCAAGTGACCATTCAGGGGCCGAGCTCTCTCCCCTGGAGGAAATGTCCGACCTCGGGCCGCAGCGCAGGCGGAACAGGGTGATCCAGCCTCTCTTGCACATTGGCGAAGAAACCCAGCAGTCTGTCAACAGCGCCTCTGTGAAAGACAAAACCGAGTTCATAGAGGTGGGGGAGGAGGGTCTCGAGGTGACGGCCGCCAGCCTGGACATTGAGCGCCAGTGTTTCAGGCAGTTCTGCTACCAGGATGCTGAGGGGCCCCGCGAGGTCTGCGGCATGCTCTGGAAGCTCTGCCATCGCTGGCTGCAGCCGGAGCGGCGCTCCAAAAGCCAGATCCTGGAGCTGGTGATCCTGGAGCAGTTCCTGTCCATCCTGCCAGAGGAAATGCAGAATTGGGTCAGAGCTGGGCATCCAGAAACTTGCTTTCAGGCCGTTGGCCTGGCCGAGGATTTCCTGGGGAGGCAGCAAGGGACTGAACGGCGGGAACGGCAGGTGAGAAGACAGCTTGGGGTCCTGGGATGGATAAATGATGGAACAGAGCCTCAGCAAGTGACATCAAGTATGGCAACCTAAACTTAGTTGGAGAGAAGCAACAGGTTACAGCAGTGTTTCTCAACCTTGGCAGCTTGAAGATGTGTGGACTTCAACTCCCAGAATTCCCCAGCCAGCCATGCATCTCCACACATCTTCAAGCAGCCAAGGTTGAGAAACACTGATCTAGGCTACCATAACAGAACCTTGAAAGCCTGACAGCATTTCTCTTTCCCTTCCTCTTATATCTAAGAGAGTCAAGGTGGCCAATATCACCCCCCTCCTGTTCCTCTGGGCAAAGTTGATGTTTTTATAGTGGCTACTACAGACCTTCCTCAAAGCTATTTTCATATTCCTCTATGCCTGAGTGTTCAGTTTAGAAGTGTGCGTGCAGGTACGGAAAAAAGAATAAGCAGGTTTGGAAGAGGGCGTCTTTCAGTGGCCGTAAATCTTCCTGAGCGTTTTGGCTGCCATTTTGAGAATAGGAAAGACCTTTTCTCGGCAGCCATTTTGTACAGGTTCCCATACCATGCTTTCAAATTCCACATGGGCACTAAGGCTAAAAATGTTTGCTCACCCTCAGTCAGGAAGGTCTGGTCTCTCCAGAATGTTTGGAATTTATATAGAATGACAGGAACGGAAGATTAATGCACTGTAGGCTGGGAAGGATACCGCTAAGTTCAGGGCCGTGGGTAGCGAGTTTTGAGGGCTTCCTTCAGAAAATGAGAAGAAACCCAACGCTGAATGTTTCAAACAGCAGGTTTGAATCAGGGTGGGGGCAGGCCTAGAAAACTATGGGCTGGTTCTGCTGTCTTGTTTTGGAAACCTTGGTGGAAAATGTTCCTAAAGATGAAACAAATGAGCAGATGAAAGGAGAGATTTGGATGAAGAAGAATTAGTTTCCTTTCTGTAAAGGTAAGGTCTGCCTTCCCAATATCTTAGTATTCTTTGCATGTGGGCTTTTGGAAGGGTGCCTGAAGGAAAATAGAGGGACTCGGTTTTGAGAGGAGCTGCGCCCAGTGAAATCCCCTTCCAGTAGGAGAGGGTGGCAGAGCTCCTGCTTTGCCTGCAGAGTCCATGGCTCCTTCCTGGCAAGAGAAAAGCCCTTCTGAGATGCTGGAGAATGGCTACCAACCTGGAGGAAGCCTTGCTAGATGGGAATCCTTGGAGCATGTCTGGATGGACGCAGAGATAAGACAACCCTGAATCACTCAGGCTAATACTCCGTTTTGCTTTCTTGTTCCAACCTTTGAGGAAGGTCCACAACTCAGCAGTAGAATGGAGGCTTTGCCCATCAAAGATTGCCAGTCGGTCCTTGCCATCTTCTAGCGTGGAGGGGGGCCCTTGTCTAACATCTCAAAAGAAGGATAAGGAAAATGATGCCATCCAGATGTTCCTGAACTCCAGCCCTAAGCCTGGATTGTGCTATCTGAAGCTTCCTGGAGTTTAG